TCGCTGGTCCGCCCTCAACCCTCGTCCCACTCACCTTGAGGTCCGTTCCTCTCCCCTTTATGAACCTCCCTCCTCCACCCACGCCCACCAGGCCCTCGCCCCTCCCCAGCAACAGCACCAGCAGCAGCAACAGTGGCAGCAGCTTGGGAATCAGCAGCAGGGGTCACAGCAGTATGGGCAGCAGCTTCTCCTCTCTCAGCTCCAGCAGCAGCTCCAGCATCTCCAGCAGCAGCTCGACCTCCAGCCACAACTGCCCCTCCTCCCTCCTCCTCCGGTTTCCCAGCAGCAACCCTTTCCTACCTGGACTGCTGGAAGTGCTGCCTCTGCAGCCCATCTCTCGGGTGCGTCCCCGGCGCCGTCTGCAGGTGGCAGTGTGACCGCTTTCCCTTCCTCTGGTTTTGTTGGTTTATTAGGTCAACCTGAATCTGTTGCATCTCCCATGTACCCTTCTTCTCCTAATGAAACTTCGTTCCAGTACTCTGCCTCACCTTCCTCCACCATTGACTTCGTTCTGGACAGTGGAGCCACTGACACTGTCCTTCGCGACGCTGGTACACTGCGCCCTCTCCCCACACCAACCTCCCTCCTCGGCGCTGATAGCAGTTTTTCCATCCCTTGTCACAACACCTCCACCCTTCCCTGTCCTCTCTTTCCCTCAGGTACTGTCAACGGTCTCCACATTCCCTCCCTTCGTACTAACCTCCTCTCCCAAAGGTCCCTCCAACAAGCCATGATCACCACTCTCATCCTAGGTGGTGCTAACCATTGTGACCTATACCAAACCTCCACAGGTCGTTTTCTCGCCCGTATTCCCTATTGTCCCTGCTCCCGTCTGTACACCCTTCGGGTTCCCCGCCCCCTCACCTTCCAAGTTGCCTCCCCCCCCCCTCCTTCCCCCCCCCCCCCTCCCCTCCCTCCCACTAACCCACCCCCCCCCCCCCCCCCCGCCCTCCTGACTCTGACTGTTCCTGTCGCTCCCTCTCCCACCCCACCATCCTCCTCCATCACAGGCTAGGCCACCCCAACTTCGCTACTCTGCGCTCCTCTGTCTCCTCCGGTCTCCTCCACGGTCTCCCCTCCTCCCTCCCTCCCCTCCCCAAATCCCCTGCCCCCCCCCCCGCAACGTCTGCGTTCAGAGCAAGCTCAAGCAGCAGCCGCACCGGAGCTCCCCCTCCGCTGCTACGCAGCCACTTGATCTTGTTCACATGGACCTATGGGGCCCTAATCCCTCTCCCACTCGCCAGGGCCATCGCTACCTTCTTGTGCTTGTTGATGATCACAGTCGGTACTCGTCCGTCTCTCTCCTTCGGACGAAGGCGGATGCCCCGGCTGCGATCATCGCCTGGCTCGAGCGGGCAAACACCCATTTTGGGCGCCCTGTTCACCGCCTTCACTTTGATGGAGGTGGTGAGTTCCTTAACAACCAAGTCTCCTCCTATTGTCAGTCTCATGGCATCCTTCAGACTTACACCCTCCCTCACTCCCCACAGCAGAACGGCGTGGCTTAGAGTCGTGTTCGAGAGATCACCAAAACAGCCCGGTGTCTGCTTGTCCACGCCTCCTGCCCCCCTTCTCTTTGGGGCTACGCCCTCCTTCATGCCGCCCTCCTTACTAACCTTTACCCTCACCCCCTTCTCCCCTCCATCACCCCCACTGAGCTGTGGACGAAGGACAAGCCTGATGCCTCAACACTTCGTGCCTGGGGCTCTAAGGCACATGTCCTCATTCACCCCTCTGACCGCTTTCCTCCACCCACCATCCGGTCGTCTAATCCGCAGCCGGGATGTGGTCTTTGACGAGTCCACTCCCTACTACTCTCCCACATCTACTGACCCACTCCCCCCTCTCACCCGTCCCCTTGTCTGGTCTGACACCACCCCTCCCCCACTACTCCCTCCTCCCCCCATCCTCCCACCCCCCCCTTCTCCACCGTCCCAGTCCCATGGTGCCCCTCCCTCTTCTGGTGACATCTTTGACCCGGAACCTCCGTCTTCTCCTGTCTCCCCCACTCACTCCTCTCCTAGTACCCCTCCCCCCCCCCCCTTCCTCTCCCTTGCCACCAACCCGTCCTCCCCCTTCCTACACCATACTCACCCGGTATCCCCACACCAGGTCACGTGACGGTATCCTTGGTGCACCGCCTCCCGTTACCCTCTCTACCTCTACCCTCCCCCCTCTCTCCCCCCTCCTCCGTCACTTCTTCCAGGCTGTCTTGCATCAAGCCCCTCATGCAACAGCCCCCTCAACCACCTCCTCTCCAGCAGCGGCACCGGCAGTGGGACCAGCAGCGGCAGCAGCAGCAGCGCCAGCAACCGCAGTAGCAGCAGGACCAGCAGCGGTAGCAGCAGCGGGAGCGGCATCGGCAGCAGCAGCGGGACCAGCAGCGGCACCAGCAGCACCAGCAGCGGCACCAGCAGCGGCACCAGCAGCAGTACCAGCACCGGCACCGGCAACGCCTCCACCAGCAGCACCAGCAGCGGCACCAGCAGTCATCCGCGCCTTCCACACCTCCCTCTCTGAGGACTCCCATGAAGAGCTCCTTGACCTCCACCTTTATGACCCCTCGCTTCTACCCATCACGTTCGACCTCTCTGGCACACCTGTCTTCGCCTTCTCCTCTGCTCCCTCCATTTTCGTTCCTACCACGTACAAGGAGGCAATGGCGTGCCCTGACGCTCCGCTATGGCTCGCCGCCATCATCAAGAAGCTGGAGGCCTTTATCGGCAACTCCTCTTTTGTCGATGTGCCCCCCTACGAACCTGGTGAAAGGAAAGTGGGTGTTTCGCGTCAAGCAGCTGCCAGGGGAGCCACCCGTTTATAAGGCTCGTTACTGCGCCGTTTATGGTTTTGACTTCTTCGATACCTTCTCCCCTACTGCCAAGCCTGCTACTGTTCGCGCCGTGCTCGACCTCGCCGCTCGCCTCAATATGGAGATCCACTCGATCGACGTTTCTAACGCCTTCCTAAAAGGCGTCCTTCGCGAGCTTATCTACATGGAGCGTCCAACCGGCTTTCACCTCCCCTTCCCAGCAGACTCTGTCTAGCAGCTGCGTCGACTGGTGTATGGGCTCCAACAGGCCCCGAGGGAGTGGCATGCTAAACTTGCCTCCACCCTTGCTGAACTTGGGTTCCGCACCTCCCGCTCTGACGCCAGCCTCTTCCTCCGCACCTCCCCTTCCCCATTTTACATCCTTGTGTATGTCGATGACATGATTCTGCTCACTGCCGACCTTGGAGATTTGGAGCATGTTAAGGCTGATTTGGGCACCCGTCTCAAGTGCAAAGACTTGGGAGAGCTGCAGCATTATCTGGGCATGACCATCACTCGTGACCGCTCCGCCCGCACCATCTCACTCTCCCAGGGTCATTACTTGCAGCAGGTCTTGGAGCGGTTTGACATGGCCCGCGGCGGCGCCCAACATACACCTCTTTCTGTCGGGAACCACCTCTCTCCACCCACCTCCCCCTCAGCCTCCTCCCATCCTTATCCCGAGCTCATCGGCTCCCTCATGTACGCCGTAGTCTCCACTCGCCCTGACCTTGCCTACCCCATCAGCGTCCTTGCTCGTTTTGTTGGCCCAGGCAAGCATACGGAAGAGCACTGGCAGGCCGCCAAGCGTGTCCTCCGGTACCTTCGTGGCACCAAGGACTATGTCCTTACCCTTGGCGGCCCCTCTCCACCTCTTCTCACTGGCTACAGTGACTCCTCCTGGGCTGATTCCCGGCCAGATCGTCGCTCCTCCCAGGGCTATGGCTTCTCTCTTGGCAGCGGCCTTATCAGCTGGCGCTCCACCCGCTCCTCGGCTGCAGCCCTCTCCTCCTGCGAGGCGGAATTGTATGCCGCCACCATGGCTGCACAAGAGGCCCGCTAGCTCACCTTCCTTCTTGAGGAACTTGGTGCCCCCCAGCGCTGTCCCACAATTTGGTGTGACAATGCTAGTACCATTGACCTCACCAAAGATGCTGCGTTTCACGGGCGCTCCAAGCACATTGAGCTCCATCATTTCTTCATTCGCGATCTAGTTCAGGTGGGGCACCTTCGCCTCGACAAGGTTGACTCGGCGGCCAACCTTGCCGACATCTTCACAAAAGCTCTTCCTCATGCCGCTCACTCTTTCCTACTTCGTCTTCTTGGCCTCACTCCTCCTAAGTCACCTCCCGCCTCTTGATTTTAGCCTTCTAGCCTTATGCATGTTAAGGGGTTGTGTTGTAATTTCATATTTCATACAACATACATAGGCTAGAAGTGTAGCACATTTATAAATTGGGGGGTTGCTTAGTGTACCCTCCAACCACATTTTGTGGTTGGTTGGGATTGGTCCTTAGCTCAACCAATCCCAACCAACACACATTTGTGGTTGCTTGGGTCACAAGCAAGCTCACCCATTGGCCAACGTATTGGCCAATAGGGTAAGCTTTCCTCTCATCTCTCTCTTGCTCATTGTTTGTACTAAAGAGCCTCTTGGCTCATTATTCAATGTATCAATTCTCTCTCTTCTAAAAGCATCCACTGCATCTGTAGCAGCAGAGGGCATGGACCAGCACAGGCGAGGTGGCGACTGTAGTGGGAGGAACCCGGTAACCGGGTAACGAAACGGGCGCGCACCGAAGTTAAGTTCGCAACGCTCCCCGTGGGAGATGGAGATGGCTGGGAAGTAGGCCAGGCCCCTCTGTAGTGCCTTCACTCCTGTGAACACCACTCCCAGACACTCCCCGTTGCGGTAGAATGTCACTCTCCACACTGCCTTGCCGCCACTGGATGCCCTACCGGCAGCACCAGCACCAGCGGCACCAGCAGCACCGCCACTCCTTCTGCCACCACCAACACCAACACTACCAGCAGAACCAGCAGTAGCAGTAGCACCAGCACCAGTACTACCAGCAGCAACAGCAGCAGTACTACCAGCAACAGCAGCAGCAGCAGTAGTACTACCAGCAGCAGCAGTAGCCTCCGAACCTACACCCTCTCCTCCCACCCCCCCCTCCCATCATGCGCCCAATCACCCAATCACATCATGCGCCGCCCACGGCTGGCCATACTGAGCCGACCACCCACTCCACTTCCGCACCCTCTTCCCATCAAAAGCATATGAGTCGGGCGCGTCCCCCACGCCCTCCTCTGCCATGAACGGGCACGCCAATGTCGCCCAGCCAATCTGCTGAATGCCGGAGGAGCCTAGAGTTGCCTCGTACTGCCACCTGCCCGAGTAGACGCACACGTTGGCGCGCGCGCTGCTGAAACTGCTTAGGGATTCGAGAATCAGGCCACCTCCTAGGTCCTCTCGTGCTCTGCCTCTGCCTCTTGACCGGCCCCCTGCTCCTGTTGCTCCCCTCCCTGCTCCTCCTCCTCCTCCTCCTACCGTTGCTCCCGCCCTGCCCAGGGACTCTAGCAACAACCCTTCCCATCCTACCCCCCCGCCTCCCCCGCCACCCGCTTCCCCCCCTGCGCCCCCCCGTGCGCCCGCCCACTCTATCCCCTCAATCTCCACCCCCTCCATATCCTCCTCCGCCCATATGCTCCGCAGCACCGCAGCAGCATCTGCAATCCCTCGCCCGCGGCTGCTCCCCTCAGCCCCACCCTCCGCCTCCCCTTCCGCCCCTCCCCCCGCCCTTTCCGCCGGCCCCCATGGCCCGCCCCCCTCCACTTTAATCTCCCCGGAGAAAGAGCTACGTAGCATGTAGACTATAGGCGGTCCTAATCTGCCTATTAGGCCTTCCGAGGCGGGATTGGTTGTGGTACTGTCAATGCTACTTCTGTTACTTGTGCCGCCCAAATCTTGTCGTCTAGGAGCTCTAGATTCGCTGATCTTTGCCATCTGCAGATCCAGAAAATCGCTGATATGATTAAGGTTGAGATACCCTCCACGTGTCCATCTCTCACTGGAGGGCGGCGTGAGAAGCTTATCCTGAGAATACGTCTCTTCAGTGTTTCGATCCGACATCACGACATTCCCGCTCGCATCCAACGCGTCTCTTCCTTGTCTTATAACGAGCCCCGCTTCCTCCTCCAACCGCCCTGCCGCTTCTTCCGCCGCCGAACGAGCTCCCTTCCCGTCAGTTCCCCCATCAACGTCCCCTCGCAATATAAAATCCACCGCGGCCTGGAAATCCGCCTGAATTTCCGCCGAGTGTTGCGCAGACACCGCCTCTGGCCCGTGCCGATCCTTTATTCCACAATCGAGTTCCTCCAACGTGATAATAGAAGCGGAGCGGATTGTATCGGGGACGGCGCCAGCAGCTCCACTAAGCCTCTCCACGAATTCTCCATGTCTAATTGGCGGATGGCAGGCATGTCTCACTCGCATGGGCTTTGACTCAAAAAATGGATTGGGCGGCTGTGCGTCTCACCCGCACGTGCACTGCTGTGAGCGCAACGAGGCTCGAGAAGAAGACGTACCGTGGATGGAAATGACGAAGGCTGCACGAAGGATGAAAAGCCAGGAAAGCCACGAGGAACGAGAGGCACCGCAAGGCAAGGCAATACAGATGCAGAAGGAAGGATAGCTTACGGTGGTGCTCCGTGCGGAAATCGAGGAAAACCCGCGTTCATTCTCCCCGTCAAATCTCTCATCAGCCAAAATCAGGGTCGCAGGAAGGGGGAAATGTGTGTTCGCGGAATGTGTCATGTGTAAGTGTCTCCTTTAGTATTCAGTGTTTATAGGTAACATGGATGGTTGTCTAGTTATCTTATTTCACAGCCAAAACAATCCCTTCACAACATCGAAATGTCAAAGGCATTCATCGTAGCACAATAAAACCAGTAACATTTACGTCTGAACATTGTCTTATCTCTCCTGAACAGGTTCTCTATAACCATCATTATAGTTTCGCATTTATTCTGTCTGGTTGCACATTGCCTCTTAAGTTACAAGCAAGGTATTTATCCTCCCTGATTTGTGCAAACCTCCTGGGACTGAGAAGTTGTTTGTAAAGGGGTCACACGCACTAAGAAATAACGCCGCCTGCCTCGAGAAGCACCTGCAGAGTACTACCTGGTTCAGGTGAGAACTGTGCGCTGGTTAACCATCCTGGCAGGAAAGGCCCCTGCGCTTCGTAGCCCATAGAGGCAGGTGCGGAAAGTGACCTGATGCATCTTGAACCAGCTCAAATCTGGGGAAGCCGGAGCGCTTGTTCAATTCAGATTGAATGTACAGTCAGAAAAGTCTCTCCTGAGCCAAACCTGGTTTCAACCTCCCTGCGGCACGACTCGCAACAATCTTCCAACTTAGGAAACCTGGAGTTCAACAGCCGAGCCAACCGACCGCATCCGCGAGGCACAAATAGGAGTGCTCCCATTCTTCAAACCGATAACCTTGGTCAAGGAGAGAAGTGGCTCTGTAATTTTTAAATTAACCGTTGTAATTAACCTGCGAAAGTTGCTCGCGAGATTGATTCTGAGAAAGTTATCATAATGGCGCGCCTACTGTTCGTCGTGTCGTTCGCCGTCCTGCTGGCGGTGGCGTCCGCAGGACAATCCGTCGTGACGGGACCCAGCAACCCCGCGGTCAACCTGGACAAGGCCAAGGGCGACAATGGCGTGGCCACGGAAGTCCCTCCTGGCATCGAGAAGGCGGCCGCCGCCGGCGGGCTTGACAAGTATGAGGGCACGACCATCGTGAGCCCGAGCACGGACAGTATGCTGATGGTGGACGTGAAATCGGCCGGATGGAACAAAATGAAGTGCCACAAGGACCTGGGCAAGCCCGGGGAGGGCGCGTGCACGCCCGCCAACTGCAGCAAGGGCGGCATCGCCGCCAAGTGGAAGACGTCGAACCTGCTCAAGAACAAGCTGGGTGTGGAGGTGTACGTGAAGGGCAACCCTCTCACGCTCAAGAAGGCGTCCCCGCAGACGTGCTGCAACACGTGCGCGGGATACGCTGGTTGCACGTACTGGCAGTACATCCCCGACATCACGATCGACGGCAAGAAAACGGAGGGCGCGTGCTACCTGGTGCACGACAACATCGACTACTCGTGCGGCGAGCTGACGGCGCAGTACGCGACGGACTCGAAGCCGGTTCATCTGCAGGTGCGCACGGGCGGCGAGTGCAACCCCGCGGGACACATCAAGGACGACCCGCATCTGGTGGGCGCGTACGGCACGCACTTCGACTTCAACGGGCGACCCGACAAGGCGTTCTGCCTGCTGACGGACAAGGACCTGCACGTGAACATGCTGCTGCGCGGGTACTACTCGGACGACACGGAGAACGCGGCGCTCGTTGTGGACGGCAAGGCCGTGCACACGTGGATCAAGGAGCTGGGCATCGTGTGGTTCGCCAACGGCGCCGACCACAAGGTGCGGCTGGCGGCGCGCTCTGGCAAGAAGCAGGAGCGCGGTGACGGGTTCATGAAGACGATCGAGATCGACGGCGAGGAGATCCCGAGGATGAGCGTGGGTGACGAGGTGACTACCGAGGGCGGTCTGACTTTGCGATTCGCGGCTCTGGAGAAGGAGGGCCCGTATGACGTGGACTACTACACGCTCGTCATCGACGGGCTTGTGACGCTCGACCTGCGTCTGCGTGTCGCCAACCCCAAGCTGCAGACGCCCACCGAGGCCGAGGCGCACATTAATGTCGGGATCGTTGAGATGGAGCACACCGACGACGTGCACGGCGTGCTCGGCCAGACGTACCGCCCCGACCACGCTGCGCGCGCCGCCGACTTCCAGAAGATGATCGCGACCCTGCACCGTCCGATCTCAGCTGAAAGCACGGAGGGCGCTGGGTTCCTGGACGGCACTCCCCGTATGTACGAGTCGAGCTCCGTGCTATCCGTGGACTGCGCGTACACCGAGTACCACCGCGCCAAGCAGCTGAGCCCCGTCGAGAATTTCCCCATGGAGCCTCTCAACTAAATTCGCGATCTTTCGCTTATTGGTATGTGATGGTAACGGACGTACTCCGTCGTTCCCTTGGTGGGCTGCGATTCGGTGGGCTGCGATTCGGTGGGCTGCCACTTAATCAATGTATTGTATAGTAGGTTTATTTTCCTAATATGTACGATTCGTTCGATATATTTCATAACCTTCCGTTCCATCACCCTGGTCTGGAAGCCTCTGTTCTATGAGGCTACCTCTGCTAACGGACATCTTTTTCGTCCTTGCTGCTATTGCTGGCCTAACTGGCTTTTGGTTTCGCGCTGGGAACGCGAGGTTGCGACTGGGATCAATGAATTCAGCGTCGTTCCACCTGACCTGGTAAAGTAGTAAAATATTACGAATCAAACTCGTGCTGCTCTGTCGACCAGGCCTGTCGAAGTTTCTGGGGCTCGTACTTGTGCTCCCCAGCTCCTCCGCATCTGACCCTTGGTTGGGTGTACGTGTGCGTTTTGGCGCCCTTAACGGTCACGGGTGCACCCCAAAGTGAAAACTTGAAATCCGGGCATATTTGAAGTTTGCACTTAAACTGTATTTTACTGTGATACGTCCAGTTTTCAACTTATATTAGATGTCAGTCATACCTAATACTACACGTCTTCAATAGTCATAAAACCTACCTTGCCCGCAATGTTCTACTTTTCACTAACTACAGATTTAGCATGCAGATTTAACTACCCTACTCTACCCAAACATGCAATGCAAGCCTACCGTATTTGGCAGGCTTCCTCCCCTTCCTCCCCTTCTCCTCAAACAAGGCATAGGCCGCTGCCCAGTCCAGTGGGTAGTCTAGCATCTCACCATCATCAGCTCCCCCAGCCTAACATCAGTAAGAGCAGCACGATCCCACGACTTAATAATGTTTTGGCGGGAGAAGCCCCTCTCACACTCAACAGTGCTGAGGGGCAACACAGAGGCTGCATGCCAGAGGGAGACTATGGTGGGATAGTCATCCTTCCAGTCTGCCGTGCGCAGCATGTTGGTGAGAGCCTGATGGAAGCTCTGCTTCTTGAACTTCTTCTCCATGGTGTCTGTGAAGAGGCGCATCTGCGGCTCTATGTAAGCAAGAGTGACTCCTGCCAAGGACATATACAACAAGGTTAGAACATGCCAATGTTGGAGAAAACCATATTCAAGGTTAGAACCAGGGGTTTTTTTTCGTTTTAGAGTACACTGGTTTCCAGAGGCGTTTTTGGCTGTACTCTGAAATGTCAGTGTAACACAGGCTGTCCGTTTAAAAACCCTGGCACCTCAGAGTACTTTTTCTTGTTTACCCTGTTGTGTGTGTACGCGTTTGTTCTTGTGCTGTTGCATAGTTAGAAATGTTACAAATATAATTATTAGACACGATGTACACAATGTCCTATCCTATCCTACTAGTACAGCTCAATCAAACTCTGCCACGTCAGCGTCTTCCTCGTCGTCTGCACTGGCCTCAGGCTTGTTATTGTCAGCCGCTGGTTGGAAGGGTGCAGGGGATTTTGTCGGCCGCCTCTTCTTGTGCTTGCGCCAGATGTCCACGACATCTGGCCACTCCACGTTGTAGTCGAGCATGTGGATGCTCATCAGTTCAGTGAGCCGCGTGTCGTTGAGAGTCGTGCGCTGCCAGCTCTTGATGATGTTCTGGCGTGAAAATCCACGCTCGCATTCGACAGTGCTGAGTGGTAAGACAGCCAACGCCTGCCACAGGGTCATGATCTTGGGGTAACTTCGCGGCCAATCGCGTGACCTCAGCATGTTCGTCAGCGTCTGGTAAAAGTCCTCGTCCTCGTGGTGCGTCCTCATGATGTGGCAGAA